GACCAAGGAAACTTCTTATACCTTTAATGTCCTTAGGACACGTCATCTTTTCAATAGCATCAACTTTAGCTTTATCAACTTCAATACCTCTTTCAGAAACTTTATGCCCCAAGACAATACCTTCATTAACCATAAAGTGACACTTCTCCCAATTTTAAGACAAGATTAGTTTCTTCACATCTCCGCAAAACTCGATCAAGGTTGCTTAAGCAATCATCAAAAGAATTTCCATATACAGAGAAATCATCCATAAAAATCTCAACAATCTTTTCACAAAAGTCAGAGAATATAGCAGTCATACATCTTTGAAATGTAGCAGGTGCATTGCATAAACCAAAAGTCATACGTCTATAAGCAAAGGTACTGAAAGGGCAAGTAAAGATGGTCTTTTCTTGATCCTCTTTTGACACAGGTATTTGAGAGAAACCAGAATAACCACCTAGAAAGCAGAAATGTGTATGTTTAGATAATCTTTCTGGCATTTGATCAATAAAAGGTAAAGGGTAGTGATCCTTTTTAGTAGCTTTATTTAATTTGCAGAAGTCAATTACCATTCTATAACTTGTAACAATTCTTTGTGGGATCAATTCATCTTAACCATTAGGAACAACAGTAATGCCTCCCTTCTTAGGGACACAATGGACATGACTTACCCAGTGACTATCAGCAACGGGATAAATTATACCTGCCTCCAGAAGTTGGTGATCAACAACCGGTTTAGTGTCTTTCTCCAATTTTATTTTGTGCTGGCATAGAGTGGGACTAATGCCCTTGAGATCATCAAGAATATATCCAATAGCAGCACGGTGCTTCTTCAGAGTTTTCAATAATTTCTCTTCTTCCTGCTCTGAAAGGTTAGCACTAATAATAACATGATATATCTTCTTTTCATCAATATAACCATATTTAAGTGTATCAGGTAATGGTTTAAGCTCAAAACACAGGATCACCCTTGGGTGGAGGAGGATCCCCTAGAATTTAAACAGGCAAGTTGTGTTTCAAAATAGGTCCTTGTTTAAAGAATACTTCATCTATTTCCCTTCTTTCATTCATAAACATATCATTTTCATGGTCTAACAAATATTGTTCTAAAGGATCATTAGGAGGCACGACAATAGAAGCAAGACCAATAATTTTATCTTTACTAGGCAATTCTTTATCATGGGGTTGTCTACGAAATGTAGAAAAATTAAAATCATGAGACATATCCCCTAAACCAACAGAAACAATATCCTTTTTACAGTATATCTTAGCATTAATAGTATTCAAGAAGGGTCTACCATATATAATGGGACAAAAGTTATCTTGTGGGGAAGCAAGAACAAGAAAATCAGTAGGATATTTGATTTTCCCACACAAGACTTCAACGTCTCTAACAATCCCAACCGGTGAGATAGTATCTCTATTAGCAAGCTTAATAGTAACATTAATATCTTCTATCTCAGCAGGTGCAATATCATGCATAATTTCTTCATATAAGGTATAAGGTATTGCACTAACACTAGCACCCATATCACATAAGCCATGATAACGGTAATCTCCTATTTTAACAGAAACAACAGGCATGCCAACAACAGGTCCATGTTTATCTTTAGTATCGGGTTTAGCAATTCTAGCAGCTTCATCACAGAAGTAAATAACATGCCCATCAATATTATCAACCAAGAGATCTTTAACCATAGCAATACTAGGTTCAACTTTAATTTGCTCAGAGGGTTTGGGTGTTCTAATATTACTTTTGTTGACCACAGTTGAAGCTTTAGCATGATCCTTTATTCTAACAGGAAAAGGTGGTTTCTCAATATAAGCGGTAGGAACAATAGGATCGGCATTAAAGTGATAGTCTTTTCTTCAACTTTAATAGGTTCAACTACTTTTACTTCAATGGGAGGATGATATTTAAACCACTTCTCCTTAGGGAGATCAACATGAGTAGCAAAGGATATATAGAAAGAAGCTACTATCTCAGAGTCAAGTCCATATTTAGTGCTAAATTCAGGAAAAGCATCGGTATCCATAAAAGAATTAACACAATCAAACTTAGGTGTTATACCTGACTCCTTACCTTCCTCGAGTTCCCAATCTTCACAGTTGCGTTTAATTCTTTCCAATAAATCCCATCTGAATTCAATAGTCTTCATCATAAAAGAATCAGTAAAAGAAGTATCAAGCATGGAGCGATTTTTGAGAGAAAGTCGAGCATAAAAAACTTGAATAATAATTTCTCTTGAGAGCTCATGATTGGGGCATGAATATAACATTGACTTAAGCCTCCCCCAAGCTTGAGCGATGCTTTCTCCTTTGCGAGGCCAAAAATTATATATATGTATATATATATATATATATATATATATATATATATATATATATATATAAAATTACGATCACGATGAACCAGATGCATAGGATAAAACTTATGATGAGATTCCAATTTCAATCGGTTGTAGTTCCATGATCCAATATCATCGCATGGCATAAACCATGTCAATGCCTTTCCCTTTAAAGATAAAGGGAACACCTTCTTCTTGATAACATTCTCAGGCATACCTGCAAGATTAAATAATCCACAAACTTTATCCACATAGATTAGGTGCAAATCAGGATGCAACATTCCATCTCCTGTAAAAGGATTAGCTAGCAGTTTCTCTATCATACCCGAAGGAATTTCAAAGTAAACATTTTCAGTAGGTTCAGTAGGTTGAGGAGCAACTCTTTGCTCTACTGGTCGGGGTGAAGATACCCCGTACAAGCTCCTCAAAGAATTATTTTCCATAGTAACAAGTGACAGTAAATTTTAGCACACTATATAAAATTTTTCTTACTAAATTCCACCTACCAAAGGCACTTCACTCCCCGGCAACGGCGCGAGAAAAGAGTCTTAATGACCCACAAGTATAGGGGATCTATCGTAGTCCTTTCGATAAGTAGAGTGTCGAACCCAATAAGGAGGAGAAAGAAATGACAAGCGCTTTTCAGTAAGGTATTCTCTACAAGCACTAAAATTATCGGTAACAGATAGTTTTGTGATAAGGTAATTTGTAACGGGTAACAAGTAACAAAAGTAAACAAGGTACAGCAAGGTGGCCCAATCCTTTTTGTAGCAAAGGACAAGCCTGGACAAACTCTTATATAAAGGAAAGCGCTCTCGAGGACACATGGGAATTATCGTCAAGCTAGTTTTCATCACGCTCATATGATTCGCGTTCGTTAATTTGATAATCTGATATGTGGGTGGACCGGTGCTTGGGTACTGCCCTTCCTTGGACAAGCATCTCACTTATGATTAACCCCTCTTGCAAGCATCCGCAACTACAAAAAAAGTATTCCTAACCATAGCATGAAACATATAGATTCAAATCAGCCCCTTACGAAGCAACGCATAAACTAGGGTTTAAGTTTCTGTCACTCTAGCAACCCATCATCTACTTATTACTTCCCAATGCCTTCCCCTAGGCCCAAACAATGGTGAAGTGTCATGTAATCGACGTTCACATGTCACCACTAGAGGAAAGACAACATACATCTTATCAAAATATTGAACGAATATCAAATTCACGTGACTACTTATAGCAAGACTTCCCCCATGTCCTCAGGAACAAACGTAACTACTAACAAATCATATTCATGTTCATAGTCAGAGGGGTATTAATATGCATAAAGGATCTGAACATATGATCTTCCACCAAATAAACCAACAAGCATCAACTATAACGAGTAAACAACACTACTAGCAACCCACAGGTACGAATCTGAGGTTTTGAGACAAAGATTGGATACAAGAGATGAACTAGGGTTCGAGATGAGATGATGCTGGTGAAGATGTTGATGGAGATTGACCCCCTCCCGATAAGAGGATCAATGGTGATGACGATGGTGACGATTTCCTCCTCCCGGAGGGTTGTTTCCCCAGCAGAACAGCTCCGTTGGAGCCTTAGATTGGTTCCGCCAAGGTTCTGTCTCGAGATGGCGGCGCTTCGTCTCGAAAGCTTCCTTCTGATTTTTTCTAGGGCAAAAGATTTCATATAGCAAAAGATGGGCACCGGAGGCCTGCAGGGGGCCCACGAGGTAGGGGGTGCGCCCAGGGGGGTAGGACGCCCCCTCCCTCGTGGACGGTGGGTGGGCCTCTCTGGTACTTTCTTCGCCCAATATTTTTTATATATTTCAAAACTGACTTTCGTGGAGTTTCATGGCTTTTGGAGTTGTGCAGAATAGGTCTTTAATATTTGCTCCTTTTCCAGCCTAGAATTCCAGCTGCCGGCATTCTCCCTCTTCGTGTAAACCTTATAAAATAAAAGAGAATATGCATAAGTATTGTGACATAATGTGTAATAACAACCCATAATGCAATAAATATCGATATAAAAGTATGATGCAAAATGAACGTATCAATGGCTGTCGTGCGTATCTCCTAGTCTGCATCAATGACTTCTCGACCTGCTTCTACAGGTTTGTGGGTTTAAAAAAGTTTGCTCCGCCGGTGCGGAAGCCCAGAGACAGCATTGAGTTATGCTCACAATGCCGTCGATGGATGCGGAAGAAAGAAGACTTCGGCAACCCCAAATTTTTTAATGTGATTTTATCTTTTTGTACGAGTGTGTTTACAAGGATCTACGATACTTAATATATGAATGAGTTTGGGCATTTTCGAAAGAAAATAACACTCCAAGAAAAACAGCGGCACGTCATCCTGTCTCGCTAAACTCTGTTTGTCGTTGGCACTCGGGATCGCGGCGGAGCAATTCCCTTCCTTCTCCCCGGGACCGAGAGGATAACACCCACATGGCCACGAGCCTGCCCTGCACCCAGTCGACAAACACCCACCCACATTTCCGCTAGCGGCCCCACTATGGCCACCGCTCCATCCAAACGCCAGGTCCACGCGACGGATCACCATATCCACAACTCCATGGACAACCGCCTACACCTCCCGAACCGTACCCCGCCACGATTCCCCGTTTCTGCCCAGTCTCTTCCCGCCACTCGCCGCAACCGCAACCCCCATGCGCGTCCACGCCGCCCACCTCCTCGTACCCGCGCCTCCCACGCCCCGCCGCCATGCCACCCTCCGGTTCGCCGTCTCCGCCGCGGCGACATCGGTGAACGTGAACCAGGCCGACGCTGCTGGCAAGCAGGCCGTCATCGTCGGCGGCGGGCTCGCGGGCCTCGCGGCGGCCACGCACCTGGCCTCCCTCTCCGTGCCGTTCACGCTCCTGGAGGCCTCGGACCGCGTCGGCGGCCGCGTCGCCACCGACGAGGTCGACGGGTACCTGCTCGACCGGGGCTTCCAGATCTTCCTCACCGCGTACCCCGAGTGCCAGCGCCTCCTCGACTTCCAGGCGCTGCGCCTCCAGCCGTTCTTCCCCGGCGCGCTCGTCTACATCGGCGCCGGCGAGGGCGGGTCGCCGTTCCACATGCTCTCCGACCCGTTCCGCTTCCCCATCCGCTCCCTCTCTTCGGTCTTCTCCCCCGTCGGCACCCTCCCCGACAAGCTCCTCGTCGGCATCACCCGGCTCCGCGCGGCCGCCACCCCGGACGACGTCATCCTCTCCTCGCCGGAGACGACCACCGCGAGGCACCTGGAGAAGCTCGGGTTCTCGCCGTCCATCGTGGAGCGGTTCCTGCGGCCGTTCCTCGCGGGGATATTCTTCGACCCGGCGCTCGACACGTCGTCCCGCCTCTTCGAGCTCGTGTTCAAGCGCCTCGCCCTTGGTGACAACGCCCTGCCGGAGGCCGGGATCGGCGCCATCGCAGCGCAGCTCGCGGACCGCCTCCCCGCGGGCTCCGTTCGCCTCAACGCCCGCGTCGCCGCCATCGACCCGTCGTCCGGCGTGACGCTCGACACCGGCGAGACCGTGTCCGGCAAGCTCGGCGTCATCGTCGCAGTCGAGCAGCCGGAAGCAGAGAAGCTCCTGCCGCAGCTACCTGCGAGACCCAAGAACAAGAAGGCGGCCGAGAGGAGCACCGTGTGCCTCTACTTCTCCGCGGACCGCGCCGCGGTGCAAGAACCCGTGCTGCTCCTCAACGGGTCGGGCAAGGGGGTCGTGAACAACATGTTCTTCGCGACCAACGTGGCGCCGTCGTACGCGCCGGCGGGGAAGGTGCTGGTGTCCGTGTCGCTCGTGGGCTCCTTCGCCGACCGGGAGGACGCGGAGCTGGCCGGCGAGGTTGTCCGGGAGCTCGGCGGGTGGTTCGGGGCGGGGGAGGTGGCGTCGTGGGCGCACCTGAGGACGTACCGCATCGGCTTCGCGCAGCCGGACCAGACGCCGCCCACGGAGCCAGCGGGGCGGGACCCCAGGGCCGGCGACGGCGTGTACGTGTGCGGCGACCACTGGTGCTCCGCCACGTTCGACGGCGCGATGGTGTCTGGGAGGAGGGCGGCCGAGGCCCTGGCCAAGGATGGGGGGCTGTCCCAATCCTTGAGCTGAGGAAAAGGGCTTCTGTGCGCGAGGATTCCGTTGTTCTTACTGTTCGAGTGGCAAGGCAAAATGCACGTCCGAGCACATCTTTGGTTTGTGTAAATTTTAGTTCGAACGGAAATATTTTTTGTCACAAAACACGTCTCAATATGGTTGGGTTGGGTACTTATTTCTATGACAAAAAAAATAAGCTTTTCATCCTAGACGGAATGACAGCGCATCTGCACGAGGTTACTTGGGCGTTTCATGGCGTAAAAAATCGTGATAGAAGTAAAAGCGAGAAATTTTTGAGGATTTCTCCGCATCACATGATATGCGGTGGGGTGGTCGAGAAAGGTGGTTTGCGTGTATGTGTAATGCACGTTAATTTGAAAGTATATTAAATGCACGCAGATATTAAGTAAGATATTATTTATATATGATTATCATTATATTTGGCATGAAATTAACTATACACTAAATGTGTTGAGCGCTCGATATTGAAGCAGTTTAGGTCGTTGGATTGACATGATTTGATAACCGAGATTAATTGGATTTGCCCTTTTGGATTTTTCATTGCCCTTGACAAGTATATGGAGTTTAAGAGATCATTTGCAGTCTGGTTAGTATATGGATATTTTATTAAGCGGAGAAGTTTGGCACTCTAAGTAAGCACTCGATTCCTTGTTAGGTCCTGCTAGATTGATCTTTAAGGGATCATTTTAGTCCGTTCTCCGACCGAACACATTACAAACGGGTAGGAAATGATTCTTTTTCCGATCCACCTTGATCTCCTTCCGGATCCATTCCTGATTCTCTACTTCTAATGTATGACTTGATAGCCTTGTCTTCATGTTTTTTTTGTCAGGTTTTTTTGTCTCGCCTCTCATTGGTTTTTATCTCTTTATTTACAAAAAATCTGGAGCCCATACATAGTTTATCCGCTCGACCCTCTCGGATAACCTCTCGCTCACACCGATTTCTTCCCGACTTTCAAAAAAAAGTATGTCAAGCATCAACCACACCGATTTGTATCCAAAGAAAGCACACCTTTCGGATCTGGTTTTTATTACCGATTTTTCTTGCCATATGATAGGAGGCTATATCCCACCTAATCAATATCTTCCTACAAAAATTTCTTGCGCCCATACATCGATTCCAGAAATCTCGGATATCACTTGTTTTATTGATCTGATTCTGAAGCCCTCCTCTTTCTTGCGGCGGAGAGGTGCCATACTTAACGCAGGTGATGGCAAAGTATCTCAAGTTTGCATGCCAATGATATTTATCGGACTCGAAAGACGATGTATCCATTCAAATTGGGTATCGCTTCTACATGGCATTCGGTGTGACCCGCCAAATATCTCTCAGGCATAACTGATTATCTATATTTATACCTAATATTAAAAGACGCAAGCTTCCATAGTTCTTCATTCATCATCACTTTATATCCGTTAATTTTATGTTAACTACAAAGATTGACGGCTGAGATTTAAAAGGAGGAAAAGGCTTTTTTAGTCAAAAGAAATGAGATATTCCTTTATGTTCGCTCAGTGCCCCGATTCGTTTGTACGTCTCCTCTTCCAAGTGCACGCTGAATTGGGCTGGGCCTCCGGTGGGCCTGCAAAAAAGTGTAGGCTCCTTTTTTTTCCCTATATCACCCAGAAACAAAAACCAAATACAACTCGATCAAAGATCGATGCTCGCACGTTCGCCATCAGAAACCTCCCCCATCATATAATTGCTCTCCTCTTCTTTCCCAAACAAAGTTAGTCCATCGGTTTGCTACCAATCTCGAGTTCTTGACATTCCTATCGATCAAAAACCAGGTCCCCCACACCCGATCAATTCTGGAACGCCCTGAAGGAGTCAAGGTCTGGGAATCACCCTCGAGGACGGGCTCGCATATGTCTGTGCCTGGCCTTCCCGTGCCTGACACCATCGGCAAGCTGTTTCACGCGTCATACCTCTGGAACAAGATCACCTCGATCCGACCACACGCGTCTGTCTTGAGTAGCCGGACATTATGTAGATGATACTGTTAGGGAACGTAGTAATTTCAAAAAAAATCCTACGCACACGCAAGATCACGGTGATGCATAACAATAAAAGGGAAGAGTATCGTCCACGTACCCTCGTAGATCGTAAGCATTATGAGAATGCGGTTGATGTAGTCGTACGTCTTCACGATCCGACCGATCCAAGTACCGAACGTACGACACCTCCGAGTTCAGCACACGTTCAGTTCGATGACGTCCCACGAACTCCGATCCAGCAGAGCTTCACGGGAGAGTTCCGTCAGCACGACGGCGTGATGACGGTGATGATGTTGCTACCGACGCAGGGCTTCACCTAAGCACTGCTACGATATGATCGAGGTGGATTATGGTGGAGGTGGGGCACCGCACACGGTTTGGAACAATCAACTTGTGTGTTCAAGGGTACACCCTGCCCCCGTATATAAAGGAGCAAGGGGGGGGGGAGGCCGGCCGGCCCTTGCAGGGCGCGCCAGGAGGAGACCTCCTCCTCCTATTAGGAGTAGAACTCCCCTTTCCTACTCCTACTAGAAGGGGGAAAGGAAGGAGGAGAGGGAGAAGGAAGGAGAGGGAGGAAAGGAGGAAAGGGGGCCTGGCCCCCTAGTCCAATTTGGTTTGGGCTAGGGGGGCCGTGCGCCCTGCCTCCTCTCTTCCACCAATTGGCCCATGAGGCCCAATACTTCTTCCCTGTATTCCCGTAACTCCCCGGTACTCCGAAAAATACCCGAATCACTCGGAACCTTTACGATGTCCGAATATAGTCGTCCAATATATCGATCTTTACGTCTCGACCATTTCGAGACTCCTTGTCATGTCCTTGATCTCATCCGGGACTCCGAACTACCTTTGGTACATCAAATCACATAAACTCATAATACCGACCGTCACCGAACGTTAAGCGTGCGGACCCTATGGGTTCAAGAACTATGTAGACATGACCGAGACACGTCTCCGGTCAATAACCAATAGCGGAACCTGGATGTTCATATTGGCTCCTACATATTCTATGAAGATCTTTATCGGTCAAACCGCATAACAACATACGTTGTTCCCTTTGTCATCAGTATGTTACTTGCCCGAGATTCGATCGTCGGTATCTCAAAACCTAGCTCAATCTCGTTACCGGCAAGTCCCTTTACTCGTTCCGTAATGCATCATCCCGCAACTAACTCATTAGTTGCTTTGCTTGCAAAGCTTATAGTGATGTGCATTACCGAGAGGGCCCAGAGATACCTCTCCGACGATCGGAGTGACAAATCCTAATATCGATTTATGCCGACACAACAAGTACCATCGGAGACACCTGTAGAGCACCTTTATAATCACCCAGTTATGTTGTGACATTTGGTAGCACACAAAGTGTTCCTCCGGTAATCAAGAGTTGCATAATCTCATAGTCATAGGAACATGTATAAGTCATGAAGAAAGTAATAGCAGTAAACTAAAACCGTCAAGTGCTAAGCTAACGGAATGGGTCAAGTCAATCACATCATTCTCCTAATGATGTAATCCCGTTTATCAAATGACAACTCATGTCTATGGTTAGGAAACATAACCATCTTTGACCAATGAGCTAGTCAAGTAGAGGCATACTAGTGACACTCTGTTTGTCTATGTATTCACACATGTATTATGTTTCCGGTTAATACAATTCTAGCATGAACAATAAGCATTTATCACGAAATAAGGAAATAAATAATTACTTTATTATTGCCTCTAGGGCATATATCCTTCAGTCTCCCACTTGCACTAAAGTCAATAATCTAGATTACACAGTAATGATTCTAACACCCATGGAGCCTTGGTGTTGATCATGTTTTGCTCGTAAGAGACGCTTAGTCAACGAGTCTGCAACATTCAGATCCATATGTATCTTGCAAATTTCTATGTCTCCCACCTGGACTTGATCGCAGATGGAATTGAAGCGTCTCTTGATGTGTTTGGTTCTCATGTGAAATCTGGATTCCTTTGCCAAGGCAATTGCACCAGTATTGTCACAAAAGATTTTCATTGGATCGGATGCACTAGGTATGGCACCTAGATCGGATATGAACTCTTTCATCCAGACTCCTTCATTGCTGCTTCTGAAGCAGCTACGTACTCCATTTCACACGTAGATCCCGCCACGATGCTTTGTTTAGAACTGCTCCAACTGGCAGCTCCACCGTTCAATATAAACACGTATCCGGTTTGCGATTTAGAATCGTCCGGATCAGTGTCAAAGTTTGCATCGACGTAACCATTTACGACGAGCTCTTTGTCACCTCCATAAACGAAAAACATATCCTTAGTCCTTTTCAGGTATTTCAGGATGTTCTTGACCGCTGTCCAGTGATCCACTCCTGGATTACTTTGGTACCTCCCTGCTAAACTAATAGCAAGGCACACATTAGGTCTAGTACACAGCATTGCATACATGATAGAGCCTATGGCTGAAGCATAGGAAACACTTTTCATTTTCTCTCTATTTTCTGCAGTGGTCGGACATTGAGTCTTACTCAACTTCACACCTTGTAACACAGGCAAGAACCCTTTCTTAGCTTGATCCATTTTGAACTTCTTCAAAACTTTATCAAGGTATGTGGTTTGTGAAAGTCCAATTAAGCGTCTTGATCTATCTCTATAGATCTTGATGCCCAATATATAACCAGCTTCACCGAGGTCTTTCATTGAAAAACTCTTATTCAAGTATCCTTTTATGCTATCCAGAAATTCTATATCATTTCCAGTCAACAATATGTCATCCACATATAATATTAGAAATACTACAGAGCTCCCACTCACTTTCTTGTAAATACAGGCTTCTCCAAAAGTCTGTATAAAACCATATGCTTTGATCAAACTATCAAAACGTTTATTCCAACTTCGAGAGGCTTGCACCAGTCCATAAATGGATCGCTGGAGCTTGCACACTTTGTTAGCACCCTTTGGATCGATAAAACCTTCAAGTTGCATCATATACAACTCTTCTTCCAGAAATCCATTCAGGAATGC